GGGGGGCAGCAAGCTCTCTCATCGCGCTCGGAGGGAGGAGGGGTAGAAGAGAGAAGCGGTCCGGGGCGGCGCTGGGGAGAGGGGTAAGTATCTTATGGCACGACTGCTGGGAGTGACATGTGATATGTCGAGGCGGGGCGACATCAGCAACTTTCACATGACAAGAAAAGAGGAGGGTGAGCGGGCGGCCCAGTGAGTGGGAGGGAGACAGAGAGATAGGGAGAGGGACGAGACAAGAGAAAGAGGTTGTGTGTGTGTGTGTGTGTGTGTGTGTGTGTGTGTGTGTGTGTGCGCGTGTGTGTGTGTGTGTGTGACGGAGCTGGAAGGGACGCTCCTCGCCTTTATCTCCTCATGTCTTGGGTTAACGCTTTACTGCGCCAATTCCGGGCGAGCGACTAAAATTAGAAGTGCTGGTGGATCTCGCCCCGCCCCCTCGCTCATCCTCATCGTGTTCCTTAAACAGACGGCAGCATTTTGCTCTCTCGCTCCTCCGCTGCTCCGCAATGGCTGCTGCTGCTGTGCCGCCGCCCTGCACAACAAACCGCGAAACAACACTGTCGTAGCAGACGGCAAATGGAAGAAAAATACCGACAAGGCGGTGGTGGCCGGGAGGGTGTTCTCTGGGTCGTTCTGGTTGTTCTCGGTTTTGTGGGTCGCGCGGTTCTGACGACGCCGACGCCATGTTCCTGAGGATGGCGTGGCGCGCGCGCGGCGTGCACGGCCGCCTGCAGCACCTCAAGCGGCTCAAGGAGCGCGCCGTGCTGGCCGAGCTGCGCGACCGGCCGCCGGAGCGCACCGCCAGCGAGCAGCTGCACGCGGCGTGCAGAAGGTAGGGTTATGGGGCACCCCCAATAAAGGGAACTTTAACACGCCAGAACCTCGAATCGACGTCCATAATAATGTCGAAATTATGTTGACGTCCGGAACGAACAAAGTAAGGAAATTCGTAGAGTAGACATGGTAAACGTCGCAGCCGACGTCGATAGATCCCTCAATGAGACCCCCCCCCCCCCGTGTGCACGCTACCTGCCGTCGGCCTGGCTTGTCCCTCGAGGCTGACGACGGCATCCCTCCTCTCTTGTCCCCACGCAGGTTGGAGGAGCGCCTGTTGAGCGTGCTGCCCTTCCGGAAGGCGGCGAGGCGGTTGCTCGACGAGGTGCGCGACGAGCACACGCTCGCCCACTTCGTGGCCAAGAGCCTGGCCGGGTTCGTGGTGGGCGTGCTGCTCGTGTACGCCGTGTTCGCCGTGCTCGTCGGCCAGGTGGGCGCGCCGCTGGCCGCCGCGACGCGCTGGTCCAGCCTGCTGGCCGTCGTCCTCACCCTCGGGCTCGCCTTCTCGTCCAGGGTCAGGTGTGTGGTGGTCCAGGGTGTGACGGGAAGGAACCGTACACCCCCCCCCCAATAAAAATTATATCGTGTTACTTAAGTCCGATCATAACCCTAAACAATGACAAGTCGCGTGTTGTGTGCTGCAGGTGCTTCACGCTGCTGCTGCTGCCGCAGCTGTGCTCGTCGCGCGGCCGCCAGGCGCTGCTCGCCTACGCGCTCATCCTCACCTTGGCCGGCCCCGCCTCCAACGCGCTGCGCAACGCCCGCGTGCTCGCCGACTCGCTGCGCTGCGGACAGGTAAACAGGGCGCTGCCATCAGTCATTCGCAAATGTACTCGTTTTACTACTTTTTACTCACCGATCCAGTTCACATCAGAACTCAAAATCTTGAAACCATTAATATTTCAATACTGTTTTTCCATTGTTTTCGACTAATCTAAAATTGTGTAAACGGAACTTACTTACCCAGTGAGAAATCAGTGGTCGAATCGACCTCGAATCGACGTCGATAGGCCGGTCGAAAAATTGTCGATTCCAAATGTCGAATCGACGGGATTTTGTCCCGCAAATCGACGTTTTTAGCAGATGATACCTTACAAACATTTTGACTAAACATAAAGAATACGTAAGTAACTTTAAGGTGTCAGCTAGCTTTTACTCTCGATGAGTACAGAGAACCATAAGCGCAGACCAGAAAACAATTTATTTGGCGCTGGGGGGCCGAGTGAGTGAGTGAGTGAGTGCCCGAGCGCCCGAGTGTCGCGTCGGTCGCGGCAGGCCCCTGCTCAACAATACTAGGGTCCCACAGCCGCGACTGCCACCCGGTACGCTACCCCGTCCCTCCCCTTTATAATAATGCCTGTCAAAGACGATAAACGAGTGAAACATTTAAAAAATGATGCAAAACCACCACAAATAAAAATCAAATTAGAAAAATTAAAACACAGGTATACTATAGTATTAAATTGGTATCATCTGCTTTCAAGATAGATTCTTGATTTAGATTTTTCGACATATCGACTATTTCGATGCTTTATCGACAAGGGACTAAAGGGACAGATTCAAACGGTGGAGTAAGGTCTAGTAGCGACTGTTGGTGTCCGGAGGCACCCGCGTCGCCACCATATTCAAAAATTACTGCAGGAGTTGAAGTCCGTGATGGACATCTCCCGCACCGCACGAACACGTCTCCAGGCTATAGTTATCTTGGCGTTGCGGGTCACCAGCGAGAGCTAACTGTACAGTCAGGGGAAGACCTTGTCTCGAATCGACATCGATCATGTACAATACGAAATTGCTTGCAATTTAGTACCAGGAACCGTTCTGTAACACTTTAAGACCCATTAGCTGAGTTAAGCCTTGTCATAGGGCACTTTTCGAGTAACATCGAAATTTCGTCGACAACTTCGTCTCAGGACCAACGATAACTTCTCGAGCAGTCGACGTCGATTCGAGGTCGATTCGAACACTCATTTCTCACTGGGTTAACTGGTGCGACCCTAGAATCGCCAACCTTATTTCTGAGATTGTACATATTTCTGTTCGAGAATGTTAGTCATGTAGTAATGAGAAAAATATACCTCGTGAGATGCGAGTATTTTTTTTATTGGCGAGATTTCTCCTGTTTGAAATTATCGTTTCTTTGTTTATTAGGATCGCATGCGCGGAGCTGCCAGGAAAGTGATGGACCTGGTAGCGCAGCCTCTCAAAGCCCTGAGCGAGGCGGTCAAGCGCATCCTGAAGAACATCAAACAGGCCGTGAGGACGCTGCGCACCATGCTACTCTCCATCAAGAAGTCCGTGATGGCGGTGTGTAAGTCTTTTGATGCTCATGGTCGCGGCTGAGCACAAAAAGGTTGGATGACCCGTCGTGTGTATTTAGCGAAGTGCCTCGCTTTGCTCCGACCCCTTCCCAGACCACGCGATCAAGGCGGCTTTCTCGTGGCTGAGTGGTGTGGTATCCGTCTGCAACAAGAGTGTGGGCACACCCTTCCAGAAGTGCATGCGGTCCTTTGACCAGGCCTCTTCGGACTGTTTGGTGAGTGTGTCAGCAAAGTGAGCGCCCATTTCTTGATCGACGCAATGATTATTTGTTCTTTCTAAAAACAAACTAAACTATTTGTCTTTCCCAAGGCGACAATGGGCTCGATGTTTTCCTGGATGTGCAGCCCGGTGACGGCAATCCAGGCCGTGTGCTACACCGTTAAATTTCTGGACTACATTTGCGACTTTTTCGACCTCGTCACCAACCTGGTGGTCGAGAGTGTCAAAAAGAGTGAGTATAGTCGTTTGACGATCTTGCCAACTGTTATCCCTAATAATGTTGGTTCGCATTCGCATATACACTGCCACCTAGTTCATGTGAACTTCCAAACGTCTTAGCCCTTTCTTCGCCTTTCTTGAACTTAAACTTCCTGTCTGTTTCCAGAGCTGCGCGCCTTCGGACGCCACGTCCAGCGGGCGCTGTACGTGTCAGTAGACATCGAGCACTCCTTCGAGCTGCAGACGAACCGCAGCAAGACGCTGTCACAGGTGCCTCGCCTCTCCGCTCTTTTCGCCTCTCCCTGCTGCTTTCTCTTTGCTGCCCACACCCACACCCTACCCCCTTTTCTCCCCTCAGCAGCCCTCTCTCTCGCTCCTTCCGGTTCGTTTTAGTCCACCCGTAATGGACAGCGCAAACGCCTCGTTTAATTTATAAAGAAGACGCCCGCCGCCGGTCTTCTAGAACAGGGTCTCGGATAAACGCTTGTAGAGCTCCAGCTCTGGGCCGAGGCAGGGCAGGGCGCGTCGAGGTGGGCGCCACTGAGGCCACCACACACCACGCCGTGCGTGGACCCCCTTACTGCCTTCCTGACACGGGACACATTGCCTCCTTTTTAGCCCCGCTCTTCTGCTTTGTTTCTTCTTCTTCCCTTCCGTCCCCCGTCCCGACTCAGCCCGCCCACCCTCCTATCCCCTTGCGCGCCCAACTGCCGCGCCGCCCCCGCCGCTCGTCCGTGTAGCTCTCAGCAGATGACGGTCCGTCTCTGTCCGCGCCCCGCGGCTCCGCGCGGGGCGGGGCGAGGCAGGGCGGGGCGGGGCGGGGCGGCTGCCGGCGCCCCTAACCCGCCCTGTCTGCGTAAAGTGCCCCCGCACAGCCCGTCCATTAATTACGTAACGGATTCTCCAGCCACTTCCTGAGCCGGCTCTGCTGCCGCCCCACCCCGCCCCGCCACCCGCGCAGCGCTGGGGTTCTGCTGTGTATATATACACCGCGTGGCGTGGCACGCATCACTGTGAGCCAGCTAGCAGCGCCGGGCCGGGGTGGTCCAGCGCTGTACTCCTCCCCTCTCTACTCTCGCTCTCACTCCATCTTTCTCTTTCTACATGCCCGAGCGAGGGCAACTCTCTCGCTCTCTCTCCCGGCCGGCCAGGGTGGCTCCCGGGGTCCCGTATCCGGGGTGGTCTCGCCCGCAGCTTCCTCACCTCGGGGATAATTTATGGGCAGCGTACTGTCAGTTACCTGCGGCCGGTGTAGTGCGGGGGAGGGGAGGGGAGGGGATGGCAGGCCAGGGACCCGTCTTCGTTAGCATGCGTACACAGAGAATACATCCAACGCCCCGCAGCCGCCGCCGCGTAGCGCGCACCTGACAACAGGTCGACCGTGTTATAGGACAAAAAAGAAAAAAATGTATCAAAAAAGTAATTATTCTTGTTTTTATGAGTTTGCATTTTTTGTTACCGACATGTGTTTGGTAGTAAACTGTGGTCAGTAAACTGTAAAGTATAATGGACCTTAATTGGAACTTCCCAATTTGGCCGAGCAGACCAATAGTTTCGGTTCACCGCACGTTTAGCTGCCAACACTTGTGTAGTGTAAACACATCTACCGTTTTGCACCACACTAATTATTAAACATGCCTGGCAGGTCGCGCAGGACATCGGCGAGGACATCCGGGAGCGGTCCGACGCGCTGCTCGGCACGTTCGGCCTCATCAACAGCGCGCTGAGCCTGTGCTTCCTGCTCGTGTTCGTGCGCGTCTACCTCTACCGCTACAAGTTCCTCACGCGGATCCACTTCGACAACCGCTTCGTGACGGACGCCTTCCGCCGCCTCGACTGGACGCGCGCGCGCCAGGGCCGGGAGACGGTGCTGCCGCTCACCATCAAGGAGCAGAACAAGTACATCACGGTGAGGGCGTGATAAACAGCGGCGTACTTCACTTTATAGTGAAGAGGACACAATCTTTTCCTATTTCATTTTTAGCAGATGATACTTCCAGTATCACTGCTTGTACAATACCTACTTTAACATATGTGAAGCTAATATGAAGCTAATATGAAGCCCCCACCTATATA